GTCTCCGTCGTAGTCTGAGTTAGGGCGTTTTTAATGTCAATCTCAAGGGAAAGGATTGCCGCTTCCAGATCATGGGTGGTTTCGTTGACTGGGAGCGCGATGTTTTCTTGCATTACTGCTCGGAAGCGCTCCCAGTCAGTGAACCTCCCCGTGAAGGTGCCTTCATATCTCTGTCTTCGCCCCAGATCCAGAAATATTGGATTGTGGGCGGAAGACCCTTCGTATTGGGTGGATATTTGGGCNTATTACTTTAGTATTATTTTATTTAATGAGAACTACCTACAAAGTATTTTAAATTTTCCCGCGACACCACTTTGATATTAAACTGACTTTGGTAAGTAACTAGATATGTTAAGTTGGCAACGCTGCGAAATCTTGTTACAATTAGTGTCGTCTCACCTTCACGAGGCTGCCCAGCCCTATAGAGATAAGGCAGGACAAAGATGGATAGTCCCCCTCGTTCCCAAACTATCGAGACCACGTTTAATGCCAAAAACTCTGAACTGATATTACTTGCTAATAGATACTATTTTTGCCAAAACGAAAGCCATATTCTTGGCGACTTTTTCTAGGGTGGAGGCAAGGATTTTGGGTGGGGGTATTTAAAAATTTCCATACGTAATTCATTCACAAATCATTTAAGATTCCATACTGATTGAATTAGTATACTGTGCTCCTGAGAGAGCGCGCGCCATTATTCCATGGCTAGAAATTGGCCACAATGATTTGGGATCGAGGGGGATTATCCCTCTTTATCCTGCCTCATCTCGTGTAGGCCTGGACAGCCTTCGTAGGTGGGCCCCATCCGTCGTCTACCCCGACCGCAAATGCGGCCGGTGTAGGCGCTTTGTGGGACCTCCTTTTGTCCTGGCTGGGCCCCGCCGGCTAGGGCCCTTTCTTCTGGCGCTCTTCTTGCTTCGCCGGCTCGTCTGTGTAAACCCCGGGGGTAGTGTCATGTTTATGTGTGGTATGGTTGGGTAGGGTAGTGCGGCTATGCAGCCTGGGATGCGCTTTGCTAAGGTGGCCCTTAGGCTAGCGCGGGAGGGGAGGG